TAGGACAAGAAAATATTTTTAATCTTATAGTTTTGGAGGTCGGACACTGGGGTAAAATCCTTTCCGGAGTAAAGTCCGTTTCCCTGCCTTTTCCACCTTCCAAAGGCAAGCTAACCAGTTGGCTTGTCACAGTCCCATGGATGCTGGCAGAACACAGGAGACCAGTGACAAAAGATAATTTCTTACAGCAATGACAGCAGCTAGAGTACCAGCATTTTGCATGGTTCTCTGAGCCCAGATTCCCATGGGGCAGGGTGACGAGGGCCCTGTTACACCTGCACACACAGTGGGGTGTATGACAGAAGAGGATCCCTGAGCTTGGGGAACTCAAATCTTTCCAATTGGGCAGTAAGCACGCCTGCTCTCTGCTCCCAAGGCAGGTACTACTGTATCTTCCAAAGCTGAAAAGTAGTAGTAAGAATAATAAGCATGAGAACAGTGGTTTTAACTTACAAACTACTTTTCACATCCACCATCTAATTTAATCTTCTTAACAACCCCGTAAAAAGGTAACACTCCCAAGAGATTGAGTCCCAGAAACACTGACTGACAGGCAGAAGACCACCGACCCAGTGAGGGTGGGGCCACCACTTCCTGTCGCCATTTTTCATTCTACTACTCTTGGCAAATCCACCTATTTGTGTAGCTCTTCACCCTCGGAAGGTATGAAGCTCAGAGTAAATAGTTTTTCAAGCTCTCACCCTGGTGACATGCACATGGTAGAGACTGAAAGGCAGCTGATAGAAAGAACATGGGCTATGGAATTAGGTGACTGGAGTTCAGATCCTGACTGTGCTTCTTACTAGCTTCTCTGACCTCTACGGGCCTCGGTGTGCCCATCTGCAAAATGGGGTTCATAAATCTTTCACAGGGATGCTGAGAGACTTTCACCTTATGTGTAATGTTCATGTTGTCCCTCTTGGAATTACTTGCACAACTTATGTCTTCCCTGTAAGACTGTGAGTTTTTGTTCTCAATCGAAATATGACTTACAATATTATGTTAGTTTCAGGTGTAGGACACAGTGATTTGATATTTTTATAGATTATACTCCATGTAAAGTTCTTATAGAATATTGGCTATATTCCCTGTGCTGTACAGTACATCCTTGCATCTTATCTATTTTATTCCTACGAGTGTGCACCTCTTAATCTCCCTCACTCATTTTGCCTCTCACCCACACCTCTCCCCTCTGGCAACCACCAGTCTGGTGTCTGTATCTGTAAGTCTGTTTCTGTTTTGTTAAATGTATTCCTTTTTAAAACTGTGAGCTTCTCAAGGACAGGGGCCATGACTTTGTGCTGTTCACCCCAGCAACTAATTCCATGCCTGACAGGAGGACATGCTGAGTAAACGTTGTCAACAGAAAGCCAATGTCTGGCCCCTCGTAGGTGCCTGACAGTCTTGGTCTCTTGACACCCTCCCTTTTCAGGCTGCCCCTTTCTGGGTTGGCTTCCCGCATGATGGCTTGTGCTGGGCATGGAGTGGTTCCAATAGGAAGTTCAGGTCCTCCAGAGCAGTCACTTTCATTTCCTAAAACTAAAATTTCTGGAAACATGTGATGCAAGAGTGGAATTTGACTGAAGTCACTCCCTGGACAGCCTGCGGCAAGACAGAGTTGTCCTGCCCGCTTCCTGGCAGAGCTGGGGTTGGTCCAGTTGTGCAAGTTTCTGAGATTTCAAGCAGAACAAGTCTTCCTGTGTGCCCGCGGTGCAGGGAAGCTTCCTCAGCAGAGCTGGCCTGCGGTCTTGGAAAGGAGAGCAGCGACCTTCCCCTCCCAGAGCAGTCCTAGGTCTCTCTCCTCCGAAAGGAACAATATGCTATCGTTGGGCCTTCGGTTGTGGCCTGGAGCCGTCCCTTGACAAAGAGGCAAAACGTGTTCTCAAATGAGGTTTTCCTGGAATGGGTTCCTCCCCTCCTCCTTCCTCTGTCCCCTCCCCTTTCCTGGACTCTATTCTCTGCTTCTGAGGGGGTCCCCCCCTCTTCCCTAATACTTTGCCTTCATTGTCCCAGTTGAACCTGCCTGAGGCCACACCCTTTGCTCCCAATTTGCACCTCCACCTGTGTCATCAAACCCTCATTTTCTGAGAGAAACTGAGCTCCTCTAGTTGGTAAGAGGGAAACAATATTCATCTTAAAGTCGGAAGCCCCATAAATATTTACATTCCTTAGTGTATTTACCTTTTATCAAAGGGGCTTATTCGTCCAAGTGAACGCTTTCTATGGCATCATTTTCATACAGAACTTCTGGTCAGTTAGTTCTTTCCAGGTCCCTCAAGGAATAATTCTTTCTCGATAACACCTGCTCCTTTGAGAGTGACATGGGGGGAGGGTCGGTGACTTTATATTTGATTGACATTGGATAAGGTCTTTCCTCACCTATTGGGTCTTCTGTCCTCATTGGACCAGAAAGATAGGTTTGGGATCTGATTATTTGAGTGGCAACAGTTATCTGGTAATTTTTCTGGCAGTCAGTTTAAGATTAGAAACAAATGCTTTTTTAGGAAAGAGTGGGAGGAAAAAATCTACCCAGATATCCACACCCATTCATATCGTTTAATTTTCTCTCGGAATTTTTATTATCTGCCAGCACAGCTTTGAGTTCTGCAATTTCACGGGTCTAAGAGTTCCTCAGTCAACAGAGCCACAGTCTGCTTTCTCTTCTCATCCACCCCACCACTGTGTAATTTTGTCACCTAGTATTATTATTCGTATGCTGAATGTTTGTGCACAGATATGGACAGGCAGCTTCATTTCTCCAGCTGATTTTCCACAAAATAAATACAATTATTCTTTTGGCTCTACTGACAAACAACTCATAGCACTCCCAAAGGCCAGGCACTGTTTGTGCTTTGCAGAAGGCACTTTGCCTAATCGTCATAACAACCCTATTAAGTTCATTTTACAGAGATGATAACTGGAGAGGATCACGCAGTTAGCAAGGGGGCCCACAACCTCTATCTGTAACCACAGCACACACTGTCTCCCTACTGTACTTTCATGGAAGACCTGTTTTAAAAACACTTTAAAATATCATTTCTCACAATAAACAAGAGTCATAGTATCCTAACTTTCTAAAAGTCAATCTGGACTGTTGGACAGATGGACAGTTAAGGGAGGACCAGACCCCACTGTAGCAATGGCAGGTTCATGGTTGTCGAGGTAATATTTCTGTTGTCCCCGCAGATTCTGGGGGGTTGGGGGCAGTGGCCCCTTGAATCAGGAAATAGAAAGGTGGCTGTGGGCAGAGCAAGTGACTGTGTGAGATTCCTTCCCCCGGATGAATGTTCTCATTATTTTTCTCCTGATCCATCAACAATTGGGTTAGACTGGCTGACCTACAGCAAACTAGAGCAGGAACTAAGTTCCCACAGTTTAAATGCCTATTAAAAAATAATAGCTAACACTGAGCATGTACCAGCTTCTGGGCATTATACCCTGGCTAAGAGTTATCATTCCCCTTTAACAGATGTAAAAACTGAGTCTTGTGATCTGCTCAGTCATAACGCTAGCATGTGGAAGAGGTTTGAACCCGAGTCTCTCTGACGACAAAGCTCCGGCCCTTTTGTTCCATTGTCCCCATAACACTGTGGACGAGGGGCAGGACTCTGTTATGCTGAGCCCTGGAAACCAGTCGGGTTCGGCTTTGGATCTGTGCTCTGTGGTGCCTGGGCCATGGTTGGCGGCTGAACTGATTCAGTCCAGAAGCTGATTTATGGCAGCGATTCATGAGTCCTTTAGAGCTGGAATAGCATATTCTTATGAACCTATATTTTAGTATGTATGCAGGAAATAAGGGAAAAGCTGTTATGAGCCAGGAAGGATAACGATCATGATCATGATAATACCAGCTAACGGTTATTGATCTCTTTGTATGCCAAGTTTCTGTTAAGCACATTATATGCATAAACTCGCTTAAACAGGAGGGAAAGTCAACTGGTATTGAGAAGGTCCCATACAATTATCGTTTAGCTTCCTTTTCAAAATAGTAAATGGTATCATTTCAGGCAAGGTTTGTTTTGCTTAAGTGTCTCATATGAGGAAATCACACTTGAATTGTGCAATGCATTTGGGCAACATTTGTATGAAGAAATCCTGCAACAAAATAGGGGCACTTACATACGCACTATGAAAAATCTAGCCTTTTCTATTATTTGAGGGTTCAGTCACATTCTCATTGAATAGTATTATTCTCATTGAGTAAAACTAGCAAGATTATGAAGCATAGGCATTTGTCTATGGAGATCTAGTGAAATGCATGGTGCAAGGGGCTTTGAAATCAGAGTGAGGTTCCAATCCTACCTATGTCACTTGACAAGCCCTGAACCCTTCTGAGCCTCTTTAAATTTAAAATGCAGATAATACCTGCCTCATAGACTTGTTAAGGCATTAAAAAAAACATACATTAAACTTCAAGTGGAGATATTAACACAAGATCAGTCTTAGTATAAGCATCTACTCCCACCCCTCCATCCCGCTTTGGAGGCTACCTGCCAAACTTGACAGTGTTCCCTGACTTCTCCATTCTTCAAGCTCTATTCTGTGCCCCATTTTATGGTTCTTTATTTCCTGATTATCTTGATTTATTCATTTATTTATTCAAAAGTTTTTACTGAACACATACTATATACAAGTCACTGGGTAAGCACTGAGAATACAATAGTGACCTAAACAATTCTTTTTATGGCCTCATGAGAGAGACAGGCACTAATCACACATGTGGGAGGATATAGTTATGAACTAAGCTAAATGCTATGAAGGAAAGGAACACATATCTAGGCTGAAGAGTAAGGGAAGTGAAGGTGAGTGGAGACCTGAAGGAGAAGTGAGAGTCTCTATGGCAGGTGGTGATGGTGTTGGTGATACTGTAATGATGGGGGTGATGGTGCAGGTGGAGGTGGTGGTGATGGTGCAGATGGAGGTGGTGGTGATGGTGTTGGTGATACTGTAATGATGGAGGTGATGGTGCAGGTGGAGGTGGTGGTGATGGTGCAGTGGGGATGCTGGTGCTAGTGGTGGAGATGATGTTGGTGGTGGAGGTGCTGGTGATGGTGGAGGGGATGGTAGTAGAGGATGGTACCCACAGCACAGGGAACAGCATATGCAAAGGATCTGTGGTGGGTGGAAACTCCGTGGGTCTGGAAACCTGGAAGTCTGATGTGGCTGATGTGGCTGCTCACAGATGGTGAGGGTGAGAAGAGGCAGAGACCAGAAGTTGAAGCACAAGCCACACCACAGACCCTGCAGGAACTTGTAGCCTATGTTAAATCCTTGGATCCTAATCCTAAGAACAATTTGGAAGCCACAGAAGAATTTTAAACTTGAGGTGGGGTGAAATGATCAGATTTGCATTGTTAAAAGATCATTCTAGATCTCTACTGTCCAGTAATGGTAGCTACTAGCTACACATGGGTATTGAACACTTGAAATGTTGCTGGTCTTAGTTGGGATGTGCTGTGAATGTAAAATACACACTGGATTTCAAATACAGTGTAAAAAAGGAATGTAAAATATCTTGTTACTTTTTTCATAGTCTTTACATATAGGAATGGTAATATTTGGGGTTAAATGTAATGTAATTAAAATCAGTTTTACCTGTTTCTTGCTTACCTTTTAAAATGTAACTACTAGGACATTTAGAATTACATAAGCAGCTCCCATGATATTTTCATTAGAGGGGGCTGCTCTAGATGCAGCGTGAAGAAGGAACTACAGAGAAGGCGAAGCAGGTGAGACCATCAGGAGGTTGTTTTCATAGTCCAGGCAAGAGGTGAAGGTAGCTCTAACTAGGTTGATGGAAGTGGGAGTAAAAGGAGTTGGATGGATTCGAGGTAAAATCAGCAGAACTAAGTCCTGTAGCAGATGCTTCTGGATAGATGGTGGTGCCACATGTTGAAATAAAAAACACTAAGAGAGGACCAGCCTTGGCAAGAAGTATCATGAGCTCAGATTTGGACATGCTGAGTGGACATGCTCTGAGACATCCACGTGGACGCATGTCTCCAGAAGGCAGTTGCCCATCTAGGTCTGCATGGGAGACTTAAATTTGAGAGGTATTGGCATACCAATGAGATGAGAATAAATGAGACTCCTTAGGAAGAAAGCAGCCAGTGAGGAGTGGCCTAGGACCTAGACTTGGGAAACAGGGTAAGGGAGGATAAGTCTGTAAAGGAGCGTTGAAAAGGAAGCCTAAGTATGTGGGGTCATGGAAGCCAAGGGAGAAGCAAAGAAGGAAGGAGTGTCAGCAAGGAGATTTGTTCTGACAGGTTAGGCAACAGGAAGAATACAATGTATCTGGGAGTTAGCAGTATGGCAGTCACTGATGACCTTTGCAAGTGCTGGTTGGAGTGATAGGGGTGGAAGCCAGCTTGGAGTAGATTAAAGACTGGGCAAGAGGTGAGGAAACAGAGACAGGAAGTATAAAGAGCTCTTTCCAGAAGTTACTCTATGAAGGAAGAGAGAGAGAGAAGCTTGAGGGAGATGAGAATTTGTTTTTGTTTGTTTATTTGAAATAAATATGGAAGAGACTTGAGGATGTGTAAACACTGGTAGGAATGATCTGGTTGAGATGGAGCGGTGGAAAATACAGGAGAGAGAAAGGATACTAAGCAGCACGTGGCTCCTGGGATGGCAGGGAGGGAGCGTCTCGACTGAACCAGGTGGGGCTGGCGGCCATTCTAGGAGGGAGCCCTCTCCTACTGCAGCAGGAGGGGAGGGTGGGTGTGGGTAGGAGCTCAGCAGTGAGAAGTTGAGGGGATCTTTGTGGATGGTTTTAATTTCCTCTGCAACATAAGAGGCAAAGTCATCCCTGAGAGCATGTGGGGAGGCAGAGACTGCCAGTGGCTGGAGGAGGGTGGAGGGTGAGGTGGGTTGGCTAGAAAAGTGTAATAAAAGTGCCTGGTCTCCTCTAAGTCCATAGGGACCTTTCAGGTTTAGGACTTTGTCACATAGGAGGAATAGGAACATAAGGAAAAGAGAGTGGTGGCTCTAGAATTTCTATTTATAAGTGATGATCTGACTCAGGGGTGAGAGGGCTTGAAGCTTTTTGTACACTATTTTCCATTACATGATAGTGAGAAAACACCAACTGTTCATACGGAAGGGCAAGGAAGGCTTCTGGAGATTGGGGGGAGGGAAAAGCCCTCTCCTTCAACTCCGTGTTTGGCGACACCACTGGCAAGAGGGTTTGCGGGGGTGGTAAGGGTGTCTTGGAGATTCTGAGGTAAGAAAAGCTACATCATCCCAACTTCTCCAAGACCTCCTGCTGGCACCCCCAGCACCCCTGTGCAACGGGCATGCATATTCAGACCATCGGTGGCCACACCCAGGCTGGTATTTTCCCTGTAAAAAAGGGGGAAGAACCCAGCGAACCAGAAATTTGGGGCCAAGTATGACTCTCCACAGAATGCTTAGAGGATGGGAACCCTGGGTTCTGCTGACCCTTCCACCTGTGAGCTCCAGCTTGCACCAGGCATTGGCCTGAATCTACACTAAATAAGGAAGAAAGACAAGGCAGGAGATGACCAATGGGTTGGGGGAAGGGGAGGGACCAGTGGACTCTGAGCAAGATTCAGGAGGCTGAGTTAATCATTTTGAACTTGGACAACTCTTTGTAATCCCCGGGTCCAGGGAGTGACCGAGGTAGTGCAGGGGAGGAGCTCAGGGGATGAGGGGGTATAGGAACCGAGAGGTGACAGGTGGGTCATCTTTGTGAACAGTGAAGCAGTTGGGCTCCTGGAAGATCTTAAGAAGAAGTCTGTGAGCAGATGCCAAAGTCTTCGACAAGTGAGAGGAAGGGAGTAGGAGGTCAGCAGATGGTGAGAGACAGCGGAGGGCATGAGGGCAAATGGCGTATGTGAGCTGGGACTGGTTTTCTTACAAAAGGTTGGGGAGATAAGTCAGTGACTCACACATTTGATCAGGGAGTGGAGTTCCTGGATCTGATGATGCCTTACCCTACCCTACCCTAACCCTAACCCTAACCATGGATTTAATCTCTTAGATTTAATCCCATCATATAAACCAACATTTAGTACAAATCATATCTTAGTAATCTAAAAGGGCTAGAGCTGGCACATGGTAAATAATGTATACACAGTCAAATCTGTTCCAGTGATTGACAGCTCAAGGAAGCCATAGCTGAGGGAGGAGCAGAAGGACGCTGACAGGACACACAGGATCAGACCAGAAGATGAGGCCGTAACTGACTCAGGCCGGAGGAAGCCGTGGCCATAGGCAGCAGAAGAGGAAGGAAGCACATGGCAAATTTTTTCTTTGGTGACAAATTTAATTTTGTCAATGTTGGCTTTCTTTATAAAAAGTCCTCATAATTTTTTGTCTGCAGAAGAGATAATTCAGGAGTTTGCTGTGGCTTTATGATTTAATATCTAAATAACTAAATTTGCCAAGTTAAAAATTTTGTCCTTCCTTAAGCTTTTAGGTTTGACTAACTATTCGTAAATCTATTAAATTTAAACATCAGTTTAAAAGGGACTTTGGCTTTTGTTTGGTCCCATTTACAAATTTAGCTAATTAAACTTTTAATTAATTTTAGCAGCATTTATAAATGTAATATATTTGATGTTCTCTTTAAGTGTCAATTGTTTGACTTAGTAAAACTTTCCTGAGTTCTTAAACGATTCTAATATAACTAATACACTTATAAATATGGTAAAATTTAAGCTCTCTTAAATGTTTCAATGTATGACAAATGTTTCAATCCGTGTTTCTACAAACAATGAAAAATTTCAACTTAAAATCACAAGTATAAATGAAGTATATATTTTAAGTTGGAATTACAAGCTTGACCTTGACTCTAACAGACCAAACTTAAAAAATGTGACAAGTCTTTAAAACCCAAATATTCATAGATTCCTTAGCACAAAATATTAATATAAATACTAATTATAACTCTTCCAGAGATTGCATCCAGAAACTTTTTGGGTCAAGTATGACCGCCCATATAATGGCCAAGAAGACAGCAACTTCCAGGCTTTGAAAGATACTTACACACACGTAGGAAACCATTACATCATCATACATAATTTGGGAATTCATTCATAGAGAGGTGGCCAATGATATGGCCTAAGAAGCTGGCAATATTCTTGTCTGTGACCGTGACTGGTACACACTGAACCCTAGTTATGCTTTGTAACAGGACTGAACCTAGAGAAGGCAGTGGTCACACAGCTCATATCCCTGGCTCTGAGTTATTATCATGAGCTCATTTTTTCCATCCACATGGAAGGCAGCAACTTCTACCCAGACTGCCACATCACATGGTTGGATTTAGCAGTTATTTGATTCTTAAGATATTTCAATATATGTCCCAAGGCACTCCAAAGAACTTAGAAATTGATAAAATTCTGCCTTCTTTTCATATTCTTCCTGACTGATGAGGCCATACAGATATTAAAATGATACCAGCTGCTCTCTCATGGTTTTGTCTGACTCTGTTCTTGGAAACAATACACTATATTTCTTCATTCTCGGCTTTAAACAAGGTCAGCTATTGTGCGGCAAGGGTAGGAAGTTGGGGCGAGAAGCCACTGGTCAGACTTCTCTCCCTTGCAGTCCCACCTGTGTCTGCAATGTCCATACTCCATTCCTCCAGACCCAACTGATGTTCTGAAAAGGCATGTCAATCCACCACTCAACAAGTAATAGTTGGGACTTCCCTGGTGGTCCAGTGGTTAAGAATCTGCCTTCCAATGCAGGAGGCGCGGGTTTGATCCCTGGTTGGAGAGCTAAGATCCCACATGCCACAGGGCAACTAAGCCTGTGCACCACAACTAGAACCCACGCGCTCTGGAGCTCCCGTGCCGCAACTAGAGAGCCCTCGTGCCACAACAAAAGATCCCGGGTGCTGCAACTAAGACCCGAATCGGCCAAATAAATAAATATTTAAAAAGAAGCAAGTAATAGTTGATTAGTGCCTACTGTGTTCTCAGGGCTGGGAATACTTCACTGCAAAAAGGAGAACAAAGTCCATGACCTCATGAAATTTACATCCAGCCACATTCAGCAGCTGTGTGTGAATTTGAAATCTCCTTTTCTATCATCTACTACCAGTCTTGCAACAGATGAAAGTTATTTGCATTGTCCTTGAGAGTTTTGTATATTTGGACCTAACCTATACAAACTTACCTCATATATCATCTTCATGGTTTGGCCCTTTGCATCTGGGATAGTGCATCAGAGAACTTGAAGAAAAGTCTCTTTCCC